AACAGAATCTTGAATCACGATCTTTTTCTGGGGGGTGAGAGAATTACGGCGATACACCTTGCGATTTTCGCGATGAGTTATTCATGATATACATTTGGTAATGAGGAATCCTACTCGAGGCCAGAGGTGACTCGAAAAACTCAGTCTACATTTTGAGGCTGCGAGGATTTCAGGGGATAAGCAGTTAGCCGAGCTCCGAATCGTTACATTTCGGCGGGTTTTAAGGTCGCTCCGACACGACCCGATTCGACTCGATCACACGCGGGAGCCCGATGGCGATCTCTCTCCCCTTCCACTGTTCCAAATTGGAGCTTTGACGCCCGACCATTCGACGCTCCAATTGCAAATATTTGACGAACCTGGCGGTTCCAGTCGGGCTCAACCTAACGTCGCCGACATGCGGCGGCTCAACGGCAAACATTAAACATCCTCTTTGTCTTCCGCACTTCGGTCGGCGCGAACTTCTCTTACCACCAAACCAGTTCGATTATGTTGACTCTCGAAACGCTAAATCTCGTTTTTCCTTCTCTCTCTTTCCCAAATTCGTATTGCGAGAACGGATCGGAGCTCTATTACCGTTCTCCTTCACACGGTTTCTTTGAGCGACTCGACCAATCACCATAAAAAGGTGATACGTGTCTTGCGAAAAAGAACTTTACTTTGAGGAGAGATTTCCGACTCCTTTGATGTAAAATCTTTTGTATCGCGAACCTTTGTAGTTGCACGGACAGAATGTTACAGCAAGAATTCCAATAGAATTTTGTGTAACCGAGGAATACATTCTGCAGTGATTTATTATCCTTTTTCATATGTGCCATTTATATTTTAGAAACCAAAATGTGTGTGCTATCGAAAAATTTACCATGTTCGTAAATAATGACCTTCGATATAGTGAATGAGCTGTAGCGATGATGTTTGCTTATACATCACAAACTGAATAAAAAAGTCCTCTACCATTTAGTAAATGACCACGTAGATTTTTAGTTATTATTAGTTCTAAAAAAGATTGGTGCATTATCAACTTTTTGACAACGCCAAACTACTAATAAATTTCATCTCTTTCCTTTAAACGCGTGATATTTAGCCAATCGTGAGATACATGTTCGTTAGGCAATTCCATGTTGAAAATGTATATTCGCGAGAGTAAGGTAAAAAAAATGATCCGTACAATGCGTCAATGGCGAAAAAACATGAGCGAGCGAGAGAGAGAGAGAGAGAGAGAGAGAGAGAGAGAGAGAGAGAGAGAGAGAAAAGGAGAGGGGCGAGAGTCAAAGAGAGGGAAAGAGACAGAAACAGAAAGAGAGAGAGAGCGGCTATCTATCCAAACATTTACGAGCAGTGCATGTAGCAGCATCAATAATCCACGCAATATAGACCGATGGTCTAAATATAGCAGCGCGAGTTTCCTTTTTTAAAACGCATCGCGCTGTTTTATCGTGTTAATTGAAACGTCGTATTATTACTATAAACGAGACGAGGCGCGATTAATACGGCAGCGCCGACACGGCACTCGTGGCTCTCTCGAGCGATATTACATTTTTCTTCCAATTACGACAGCGTAATTGCGCGCGTCGTCGGTTCTTTATTTCACTCAACGCGCGAAGATCGTCCAACCCGGAAATGACTCCCGCTGAACCAACAATCGATAATCGCGCGTTGTTATGCAGCAATTGTGTCGGACAAATATTTATTCTCTACACACTGACTCAGATTCGAGATATTTTAGGGAGTATATATCGTTTGCGCCATATTTAGTGCGCGTAAGCAGGTCATACGTTTTACTGTGTCACGCATTGCGTGCTTACAGGAGGGATTCTTCCTTTCGTCGCGATCGCGACGACGAAACATGACGACAGTTTTTCAGCAACATTTTAAACGGAGTTGTCGAGTTACTTTGGGTGTTCCAGAAATCGCACGTCAGCTGCGCAAACCGGCGAAGAAAAATCGAAACTTTCCGTTCGAATCAACCTCCAGAAACAAACGAGGTAATAACAATACCGTATATTTGTGATCGACACGAGCAAGTTTGTGTAATCGTTACGAGATCTATTAATCAAGACTCGAGCAGAACTTTCTCTCTCTCTCTCCCACTCGCACTTATTTTTTTTAATTAAATATCGAACAAAATTGTGTACGAAATAAAGTGACCCGTGAAGACGATATCGTATTAGATTTTCCCCGTGGAAAATTATTTATAAGAGGAAGATGAGACTTTTTTATTGCAGCCAGCAGTCTAAAATAATATGCAGATTCGCGGAGCGCGCGAAGATTTTGGGATATAATAAAATTCGCGCGCTCGTTCCTCTACGTGAACACTATGTACGCGGACGTGCGAATATATTTTTGCAAAACAGAAGGAGCGAGCATGAGAGTGGGAACAGGCGCAGAAATGCGGCCGATACATGCGACCGCAAGATTATAACCATCTTGCGTCTCCCTCGTCTACGAATATGCCGAGCGCTATATCTCACCGCCGGAGCGCTGCCTAAAAATACGACGCGCTATTTTTAACGGCAACGATTCTCGCTGCACACGAGAGGACGGAAATCGCACCGCGCCACCGCGGGGGAGAGGGAGGAAGGGAGGGAGGAAAAAGAGAGAGAGAGAGAGAAAGAAAATAAAACGCGAGAAATTCACGATAATGCGATTACGAGCAGCACGAAACATTGACGAAAGCAAGAAAGAAAAAGAAGAAGAGAGAGAGAGAGAGAGTGAGCGTTTCTTGTTAATTGGACGAATTTAGTCATACAATTAATACCAAAGTTCAAGTAAAAAATTTCACTCGACGAATATACAAGCGCATGCCTTCGTCTCGAAATGTAGCTTTACATTTCATATTATTCAAAGAAAGATACGGCTCTCAATGATAATTTTCCAAATTCAAGTTCCGTCGATTTTCGGAGCAGGCTGCGAGTCAAGAGATCGCGATTATTACGCACAGAAAAATATTCTACTGTTTAAAAAAAGGCGATTACCAAGTTTATTTTCCTTCTTTGATTATCTTCGAAATAGTTACCTTCAAGACAGAATATTTTCTTGACAATAGTCTTAAAATATTCATCACAAAATTTGGAAAGGTTCTTTATTATACTGAAAAAGGAAGAATTTATTTTCTTTATATTATAAAATTTTATCGAAGAAAAGCTTGGTTCAATTCTCTGTATATAACAAGCAGACCGAATTTTTATTTTAATTTAATATTCTTGATTGTGGAATGCTAGACTTATTAAGATGAACTTATGACAGTTTTACGGGTATATAAACTTATGAAATATTAAAAAAAAAAAAAAAAACATTTGCTTGACTGCAGCATGTATCTTTCTCGGTGTAACTCCGATGACTTTAATAATTGAAGAGATTTCATAAATTCATTGGTCTCCAAAGTTGTACTAGTACTCAAATGCGCTTCTAGCGACACTGCACGACTGCACAGAAGGTCGCGAGGTTCCCTGCTGTCTAATTAAAGTGTTTGACGACCCGATAAGTGCAAAACGGACTCACATGTCGATTGTTGGCTGAACGGATAAGGCCATCGTTTACACCGAAGATTCGCAACTTTTTCTTTCTCATATATAAGAGGCGATTTGGTGCAATAACCTCCGCATTAGTAGAATGGCATAGTTATCACAGTCAGCAGACTTGTCGTACGTTCGATCGCCGTTTGGTCCTGTCGTCCACCGCAAACGAAATATACCTATAGATATTTACATATTACGCGACGAATTCGCCTTATGTAACTAAATCAACGCTTCTGTCATCGAATTAGCGTACAAAAAAGCTCGAGATTGGGTCAATTCGTCCCAACCCAATTCGTCCAGAACCCCTGGATAAATAAGTGGCCCCTATTAAAGTGATTACCTCGTTAAGGCATTGTCTCCATTGGCATTAAATCGGTGTCAGAAGTCCATGAATATCTACACGCACACATAGCGCATGTACATATAAAACGCACATATGTGCACGTGGAGATTTTTGTAGTAAAAATCACTATAAAGTTTTGTGACTGAAGAACAGATCTCCATGCTGCAATAATTTATTATCCTTTTACTTCATGTATGCTATTTATACATCAGGAACTGAAACGCGCTATTAAAAAATTTGTTATGTTTCTAACGAAATTTACCATGTTCATTGGCAAGACAGCTCTTGCTGACTGAATGTATTCGTGCGCTACTAGAAACAGTAAAACCCAAGAGAATTTATGTAAAGAGAAAGAAAGAGGCTAATATTCTCTCTGTGTGTACCTCGCACGTAGAGGCATTTTCTCGAAACACGCGTCCTACACTATGGGAATAAAAGGTTTTCGAAAGGTCACAAATATGACAAATATGTCTAATTCCTCGGGAAAAATAAAATATAAACAGGATATTTTCAATGATGGAAACCACGATCTCTTTTTTAAAAGGTTAACGAATTTCCTGTTTGTATGTTCGAATAAAATCACATTTCCGTTATGCCCCGACGCAATTCGACACATCGCGTTGCGTAAAGGGACTAAAATCGACGGCGGCGAAGCGTAAAGGTCACATACAGCGTTTGTTAAACGCGATTTGTTCGGGAAAGGACATCGCGAAAACAGCACAACGTCGACAGATCCACGCTGCGCGGTGGTGGTGTTATCGAAGCGTAAACGTTATCTTACGGATTTCTTATCATGATCGTGATATCAGCTCGGAGCAGATTACAACAACTGTGCCTCGTATTCTACGTGCACGGGAGGAGGATCCAGCGATCGAACTGAACGAACTGACAGCGAGGCCCGGTCGATTATCGCGAAATTCACGAGACATGCCGCAAACGCACGTTTCTTGCAAACTAATGTTCATTTGAATGTCAACGTTACGCGAACGCGCGTTTGCACAGGCTAAATGCGGCACAATGAACGCGATTCATCGAGAGTAACGCCGATCGTGTGTGCCGTTTGAAATTCCTCGTGGCTTCGCAAAACGGACGAACTCTCGACAAACCGTGCGTAGAATATCATAAATCAAATGACTTACTATTTGGCGCAGTCAATGAGTTGGTACTCGTTACTCCTCTCAAAGCTTTGCTGGACGCCCCGGTCTTTCCAGAGTGTTTCGACGATCTCGTAGAATTCCTGAAAACAGAATCACGATCGGAGATTAGATCAATGGATCGATATATTCGCGAGTTCTCGTCGAAATTTCGTTATCAAGTCGTTAAGTTATGCGAGGCGCTTTTTGAGACGGAAGATTTGAACGATACTGTATGCAGAGATACATACGTCGCAAGATGTAAGAAACGATTTTTACGGAATGTTTCAGCTTGAGAAATTTGCCGAAGATTACAAACGCGACTGTATGATATTTCGGCATTCCAGCCGAGAGAAAAGCAACATGCAGTCGAGAGTATTATTACGCGACCCGATGCTTCAAGGTTCGAGTCGATGATAAGACCGCCGTAAATCTCAAGTTTCGGAATTCCGCGTAGGTAGGTAGGAATGCGACGGGTGAGCAACCGCAAACGCACGGATTGCCGTACACAATGTAAAGACTCGCGAGCGTACCGGCGGCCGCGAGCTTGCGCGATACGACCTATTCGCGTATATTTATAGTACATTTATCGCCGTCTTTATTGCACACCGGAATCGCTGGGCCGCAGTAACGTTTGACGTTTAATTCGTCGTTAGCTCGCCGCTGAAAAATATGCCGTTTGAGGCGCGTTCGCGCGGCAGTGTTTGCCGCGCGCGTGTTAAACGCGCGAGGAATGCGTAACGAATGCCGCGCGCGAAAAGACGATCTTCTCTCGTCTCGCGGTTTCTTGAAAACAAAGAAGAGCAGAAAAAAAGGGGGAGACCAAGAACAGCATTTCAAGGAAAAACACCGACCGCCTCGAGCCTTACCGATGTTTACAACCTGAGAACTACGCGACTGTTGTCGTACACGGGAAAAAATCTCAGTTCGTGCAACTGAATAGGACCAGAAAATCCGGCGACCAGAAATAATGTCTCTGTTACCGCAGACCGAAAACACTTGTCTAAACACTCAGTTGTATCGAAACATGATTGCAATAATTGAGAACAGTTGTTCTAGAAAAAAAACCTAGAAAAGTATCATTCTACTGCTGAGAAAAGGGAGTTTATTTTCCTTCAATTATATTATAAATATAAATATTCGTGACAAATTTTGAAAAAGCTCATTACTATGTATCCACAAAAAAGAAGAATTTCTTTGTACAATAAAACGATTGAAGAAAAACTCGATTCGAGTTTGTATATAGTAAGCGAATTAAATTTCTATTTTAATTTGATATTCTCGCTTGAAACGCTAGACTTATTAATGCATAATTCAGAACGTATCTTGAAAAAAATTTGATGCTTATGACAAACTTGTGACTGTTTGCGAATATACAGAGTGTCTAACGTATAACATATACTCATTTCGTGTGGATTAGGCCAAACTGAGCAAAAAATTCCTCTATCATTTTGCGAACAAGCACGTAAAATTTGTAGTTATTAACTGTACAAGTTTGACGAATGGTCGCGTGTGATACTGTGAGCGGGGTGCTGTAGAGACGATACCTGGATTACGCCAATCAAACGCGCGCCGTTCATCCCTAGCCTATCATCGATCGAACGGAATAACATCGCGTTAGGTGAGCGTCAAGCGTTGAGCGGCGCGCGCTTAATTTGTTTGCAATCCAGGTACTGACTCCACAGCATTCCACTCATAATATCACACGCGATCATTTGCCAATCTTCTACAGTTAATAACTACAAATTTTACGTGCTTGTTCGCAAAATGGTGGAGGATTTTTTTCTTCAGAGGCTAAAGAAGAGTGGCGCGCGCTGAATATTTTAGCTATGAAATAGCTAAATATATGCCTACTCTGTCACCTCTACTGTCCATATATTACAATGAGCGATTTAGCCACCGCGCACAAATTCTTGCTGCAGTTAATTTTCTTTTTCGCGCAGGCAACGGAAAATTCAATTACGCTAACGGAATTGTTCTTCCTGTGTAACGCACGGGACAACACGAGTTCTTTACACATTTCGTATATTTATTGTATGGAATTCTCTCTCTCTCTCAAGAAACTAGCGAATTTCGTACGCTTCCTCTCGAGATAGAATGCACAGACATTCAGGCGCTACTCTAATCAATGATATTTTTAAGATATACCTCCGCGCAAAGTTAGCAAATTTCGCCTCCCTTCTCTCGATGCACAATACGCCAGAATTCAAATGCAGTAGTTTACTATTGTCCGTCGCATAGGTGCATTGTCGCGGACTTCGTGGAGAGACACTTTTGTTGGAGACGGTGGAGGTAAGGTAAAGCCGCGATTTGAATGTTACGTAAATAACGGCGCGGGGGCAAGGAGACACGCTTCGCGTTACTAGCAAAGGATGTCGGGCGCATTAATAATTTAGATGTTATTGTCGGGAAACGTGCTTTCCTCATATGCGTGGGCGGCTTTTGCAAGAAGTTGAACGCGCTCTGGTCGCTTTGAAAACGCTTTACCCATGATAACCTGCCGACAGTTTCGAAAAACGTATATGTGAATAAAAACGTATATATATAAGTATATGTATATGTGAAAGAATGAATGAGATAGAGAGAGGAGAACAAAATGGCGATTCTCGTTTTGATTACGATTACTACGACGATGTTACGCTCATCGCTGAGCGAGAATAATCTCTGATGTTGCAATTATACTATTATGTAGAAATAAGTCGAGAAATGACTAGTCATGCTGCTTCCTTGTTCGTGTATTTTATACCTGTGTGCGTAAAATAGTTTGATTCCGGTATAATTTAAATGTATACAATTCAAGTCCCAGAGGATCGGAAAGGCACAGCAGAGTGCGCATTAATGCCGGAACTAACCGGCATAACAGATTACCCGTGAACGCCGCGTGAACAGTAGCAATATTTTAGAGTTAAGGATTCGTCGTGATCAATGACGCGTTCTCGTAAACGGCGCGAATTAAAACTCGCCGAGTAATCGCGGTGCTGCGGGCATGCCCGGCCGCGCGCATAAATCAACGTCGGAACGGCGTAAAGTATTATTAATTATTTGAGCCTCGCACCTGCATCGCTCTGTCGCGCAATGATATTCTTGGCAACATGTACAAACGTGTACGAGTTGCGAAACAGCGGTACGGCCTACTGTATATGTGTATCACTCCACCGCGGCGCACGTCTTGCATCCGTAATACAATGTATTCTCGCGGCAAGAATCTCTTGAGCTAATAATTAGTAATCAACGCGCGAAACTATCCTCCGCAATTTTCAGATAATTTACCGATAATACATGGAAAAGGCGTTTCGCTCTTACATGGAGAGAATATTTTATAGTTTTTTTTTTCTTTTTCATATAAAATCTTTTCAATTTTACTATATTTTCTAGTGATGCAGAAATAAACTGCTAGCAAATTTATGTATGTACATCAGTCTATCGAGGATGGTAAATTTCGCCAGAAATAGTTAATTTTTTCACAGCGCATTTAAATTCCCAGAACAGCACATACGAAAAATGAAAGAATCAATGATTGCAGAATTTATCCCTCAATTACAAAATTTCACAGTAATTTTTACTATAGAATTCTCTCCGTGTAAAAACGGCTCGAAATCACTTTTACACGTCGACAAGACGTGGAAAAGGAAACCGTAGATCAATTATCGCTAGAAGATCAAAGGTTTTCGGAAACTTTTTACAAATGAACGGTTAGCATCGATACTCCTTTTACGTTCGAGGTGATCTCGAGAGCGCGCGATTTTCCCATATAGACTCGCCTCGTCGTAAGCCGCAACAGACCGGCGTAAATTGGCAAGTGCTGTAGACCGCTTGTTCCTTTCGTCGCGTTTAAGAGTCGCGTCGAACTCGGGCAGGACACGCGGGACGACAGCGGAAGTCCATCCCGAAAGTTGTCGCCGCGCCACGAATCGCGTGGGCGACTGCGACGCTCGGGTGCTTGGCAATAACGACGGTTATATTAATAAATTCTCTTGTCGATGCTATTTCCACGCTTCCACGATCGATGCATCGTCGATATGTCTCCGCGCGAAGGTCCACGCCGCACGGATCGCCCCGTGCCGTGCTGTGCTGTGGCGTGGCGTGGCGTGGCGTGGCGTGGCGTGGCTTACCCGCGCCTATATACCGCGATTATGCACGTACTAATAATTTCGTCCAAACGCGTCATCTCCCCCCGCTAAACCAAACGCCGCTGCAAAATATGTAACTCTCGCTAAAAATATAAATACATGGACAACGGACGGTTCGCGGCGAATTCGCGCGCGGCGCGCGGGCAGGGGGGCCGCGACTTTTAAGAGTTTTAACGCAAATCGTTGCAACGCACGCGAGAGGGAACGTGTCGCTAAATTTTACTCTGATATTCCAACGTTTATACTGAAATAATTGCTATTTAACGTCGCATTCTCCGCGCTCTGGAATTTTTTCGTTACATTACAGAGGGTCCTCTTCGAAACAATAATAATAATGATAATAATAATAATGACGCAATTGCACATCGACTCGTTCGCCTTGCGCGATTAAAAGAGAGAGAGAGAGAGAGAGAGAGAGAGAGAGAGAGAGAGAAAAGAAAAATACCAGAGTAAATTATTCAATGTTCCGAATGCCACTCGATCCTGCAATTCTCCTCTTATTACGTAATTATTTTTGCATCACCGACTGCTTGCAGTCAGCCAATACGCGCTGGCGGTAACTGTCGTCCCGAGTAAGAAACCGCGGAGCACTGTGCCGGTAGTGTGTGTTTCGAGCCTGTACGAAATTAGGCCTAGAATTATCTAAAATAAACTTCCGCATCGAAAGAGAGAGAGAAGGAGAGTCGACGATGAGCTTCCCTCTCTCTTCAACCTCTCTCCGCCCTCATCTTCCTCCTATCCTTCCTCATATATGCGGAGGGCCGGGTGACAGTGACAAATTAAACGCGAATCGTGCAAGGTGCCGGCAGAATTCGTGAGGAACACACTCTAGATATTGCTTTGTCTCCCGATCGCGAAAATAGCACCGTTGATATGCCAAGTATAACACATTTGCAACAAATAAAAACCTTTTTTACAAACGATACGATATAAACAGTCCATATGTGCCGTTTTCTCTTTCCACGATTAAAAGGTTCGGCGCAAATAATGCGATTCGCTTGTTAAAAGAAACACCGAAAGAGAGAGAGAGAGAGAGAGAGAGAGAGAGAGAGAGAGAGAGAGAAAGAAGGAGGGGGAGGGAGGGCGAGAGAGAGAAAATTAACTCGGTCTTCGTTTACCCTCGAGAAGAGACGAATTTTCTCGAGGCCAAGAGAGGAATGGATTGGATCGTAGTGGCGCGCGAAACGTCAGTTTCTCAGTTTGTCACCGTCATATTAGCGTCTGTGAAATAATTGCTGGGAGATGCTGCGTAGAATCCTTTTTGTTTCGACGAAGTACCGATCATGCGGATAATCGTAAATCGCGAGAGGGGACCGCGATGCTCGCTGCGAGATAATTTAATTCGATTAATCCGAGCGCATCATCGTCGACGACAAATACGCCACGTGCAACGAATAATGGGGGACTCGCTAGTAAAAAGGTACATACTGTACGGCAGTGTGTACGTCGCTCTCTACTTTCCGGCGTTGAATGACGCAAAACGCGCGGATTATTTTGTCGCGACGACTTTATTTCGAGAGCCGCGTCGCATTTCGAATCGCGCTTCCTTTCGACTCGTTCACGATATCTATCGTGAGCCGATCGTCTCTCCTCATGTCTTGCGAATTTCCAGGCGATATATCATGACGAGCATTCTACGAAATGCCGCAGGACACGGAGAGAGAGAGAGAGAGAGAGAGAGAGAGAGAGACAGACAGACAGACAGACAGAGAGAGAGAGGACGTTTTTATTTGGCGCTTTAAGAAAGAATCCCATCGAGTGCGAGAAAATTTGCACATCACAAACTTGACAGGAACAAGCAGGGTGCTTTCTTACGCGCGACACAAAACGCAACAAACAAGAGATTCATGTACCATAAATGAAAGACAAAATTCCACTAAAAAAA